TTTTTTTTTGATCATTTCATGTTGTTTCGTCCGTTTTCTTTGGAATTCTCAAGCTCAGTTCGAAGTTTGTTCGGTTCATGTTCGAGTTACAGCATGCGCCCACTCATCTATACGTCCCTATGTGCCAGCACTTGATAAGCCTGATAAGTGAGGAATTGTGTTTGTAATGGTGTTGAGAGTGATTAGAAGTCAGTCGTATTTCAATGATTTTTCTGAATGTTATAAACATGAGTGCGTTCATCCAGCCGTATCAAATGGAAAACATGCACAATTGCTTACTGGCTTTGTGTAATAATAGCTAGTGAAAAGACTTAAAATTGCGAATATGACATATGGACACATTGATGGTATGAAAATAAATTTGTCTATAAATCTGAATACGCAGGAAAAAAGTTATGTATTTTGTGTTTTTATCTGCGTAAATGTCGATGAGTTCTGAGTAAGTGAATGAAGAAATATTTATACGGTTTTTTGGGCCAACCCTGACATTAAGATCTAATTTTTGTTTGAAGCTTGTGTTCGTTGAAGCGTGCTGAAGTGATGTTTACCGCTCCTCTTGCTTAATTGTTAACGCACAATCAACGAACAGTGAATCAGTCAGGTGGCAATTATCTTGTCGAAGTGAACCAACTTCAAAGTTTCATGACGCGTCAGCTTTAAGCCATCTCGAAGCTTTGTAATGCTGCTTAGATTATAGGCGTTGTTATCGTGGAATGTTGTCGATATTGTTGGGTGTTGTTAGTGGCGCTGGTTGGGGATGCTCTTTGAAGATGTTGTGATGGTGATGGTGATGATGATGACGAAGACGATGTTCATTCTGCTTTTATGTAATGGGATGTAAGCTATAGGCTATGGGATGACAAGCTTTCATTAGCTTTTACTGCGTTTTGTGTTGAATTGCTGCATCCAGTGGTGTTCCTCTTTCCTGTGGCTCGTTGTCTCTTCAGTGCTGTTTCTCGCTTCAGATTTTATTTGTGATTTAGTTGTTGTGCAGTCAGCCAACCAGTCAGCTAGCCCTTGTATTATTATGTTCATTGCATTTTCTTTTCATTTTTATGCGTTCTGCTTTTCCACATTTCTCCGTCTCCATCGTGTTTTAAGCTTTTCCATTGTTCATTTCATATTTTCTGCTTTTCAATTTTCTGATTCAGTTTTCCTCTCCTCTTTTCAGTTCTTCGTATCGCAATAGTCACCAGAGAAAACTTTCCATTTCAGCTTTTCTTCTGTGCTTTTTCTTTTGCATTTCCCTGCGATGTTTGTTTGATGAATTCAAACGCAATCCAATTTGCTCTTAACTTGAAAATTGACATGATGAAATTGAATCGAATTTTCCACTGATGACGTGAATAAGGGAGTCTTGTGTTTCTTATAGAATTTATTGCTTCAAACCAAAGAATTGGGAAGTTCTACGGACGGGTTCCCTCACCAATTATAATTTATTGTCTTCTCTTCAAGCTTTCGTGTGTTTCTATTTCTCGCTGTACAACTCAGCTTTTCATCGCGATTCAAAATATATCATAACAAAATAATTCGATGTTGACGTGAACGAAATCTGTCCGTTCAAACGATACATATATTACTCGTCTAAATTAAGTTGACAGCTTTTTTCACGTATAGTACAATATTTGCTGTTTTTAGTACTTCCTTTTCATCGAGTAATTAGTTGATTTATTTGCGTGTTGTTTCGATTCGTGTGATTCATCGTTAATTGTTTCATTTTTGATTTTCACTTTGCAAAACCTTTCAGTCTTTTCTCCGTAGTGGTTCAGATTCACCTCATACTTTCGTATCGTCATTATTTTTCATTGATTAAATGACCGTTTATCGGCTGGCATGATTCGAAGATTGGCTAATTTCTTCTCTTCGATTATCGATTTCTCTCTTATGGTTCTTTCTGATTTTTTTTTGAAAAACTGCCCGAACAATAATGACAGTAGTTGTAATTTTGATAGCAATTTGAACGGACTGATTCACACATGATAAAAAATTCAAAATGTAAGATGGGAAGTGTTTTGTGGTGATACGATAGGACAGGGTTATCGACCGAGCAACTGGAAAAATCATCTGACATCGTTCGCCGTCTCGTTTTGACGAGAAGACGAGCAATTTTCGCTGCTTTATTGTTATTAGCTTCGGAATTTGATTCCAACTCAAAAAACTCATAGCAGTTGATGTGCACTGCGTTTTGTTCATGTCGTTCACACGGCGTATAGTAGACAGTTGGCTTGATATTTTATTTGATAACCACATCTGATATTTTAGATATTATATTGTATTGATAATGTTTATGTGTAATGTGATTCGCCGGACAACAATTGCGCGAATGTATGCGAGCAGAAATTTTCGGCTGAAGGTTGAGCGCGATAGATGTGATTTTAATTTACGATCACTTAAGTAGGTCTTATTATTAGAGAAATTGAAAATTGGGTGGTGGTGACGTTGGCGATTTTCGTGTTCTTTGTTGTGATAACAGCAGAAAGTGGTGTGCAAATCCAGATTTTTTTTGGCTGTTTGTGCATTTGTTTGGTTGTTTTTATGTGCGGAAATTTTCCGAAGTGGATCGGCGACTACTCACTTGAGTGCTTTTGTTTTGTTGGACATGCGTTCGCCCATATGACTTCAAGCTGAGGCTCTTTAAGTGCAAAGCAGTTGAAGCAGTGCATCATCGCGATATATTACTTTCATAACCGATGGAATCTTTTGATGAAGTTGTCTTTTCATTTGCGTCATTTTGATTTCTTATAGCGTATTCATAAGTTAGTTTATCTGTTGATGGGCAGCTATTGTATGTAAAGTAGAGAATAAACGGTTTTGCAATTTCATTGTTCAAAAATAAAATGAACTAAAATTTCATTGTTTAATACTAAACTCTTCATCGCAATTCCTTTATTTTCCAATGATTTTGTAGGCAGTTTCAGTGTGCATTTGAATTTTAATGTTTATTCAATGAATTCGAAGTAATTTTATAACTTTCCGTCGAAGATATCAGTTGAAACTTTTTCTCTGCTGCTTTCAACTGAAACTAAGCAACATCAAATTGGCGTTTATTTTTCTGATGCCTGTGGTTTGTGTTCATTGAAGTGCGTCATCGTTATAGTCATTTGCATTTGATAGTGTGTCATTAAATGATATAAGTAATATATTCCACTCCATGTTATTTTAAAATTTTAATCACTGGTTCTATGATAGCAATAATAATGATAATGGTTTTATGATACTGTCTCATTGTGCCGATCGTAATATTCAGGCGATTCATTGAATTAATTCTTTCAAGCACAACTAATGAAGACAAAAAATAGCATGTAATGTTCTCATTTTTCTAAGTTCGCTTCTTCATTGTCATATTCATTTGAAAATTTCCTCCTCCCTTCTTTTCTAATGGTGCTCAGCGTCGCTCATATGTAGCTGTTGTTAGTGTTCATCACAGTTATAGTCAGACAGACACACAAACACACATATTCCCTGATATAGCTGGTTTTATATGTTCACTTCGTATCACCGTTATTTTTTAACGTTATCTTGATAATCACTATTTATCAGTTTGAGCGTTAATCAAACGTCGTCACATATATGAACAGGTGTATTTAGTCTTTTTTGCTGATCAAATTGATGCTCTGATGAAGAAAAAGAATGATAAATTTACATTTGCGTTCGCTCAGCCGCTCAGGTGAATCAGTAGAATCAAACATGGCAATAGTTGATTATTTATTGATCGATTGGCAGAAAAAAGTATGGATTAGCATGATGATACTTGCATCGCTTGTTGCTTTTAAACATATGTCATTGAATCGTTCGTCTGGCCACCATCAGTAATAATTTTGAGACGCGAGAAATTATTCTTGGCCATATTTGTGTTCATGTTTTGTTGGAACATTACCTGTTCGCGTGTTTTGTGGAAATATTAAAGAAACGAAAGAATCCATTGTAAAGCATGGGTTTTGAATTGCGAGAAGGACTGATACCTCCCACTGAGTAAATTGAATTAATCGACGGTTGAAGTCAGCCTGAAATCCGCATTCCTTCTTCTCTTGATCGATTAGCGTTGTGGATGGACCGGATTGTGGTTGTGTATGTGGTGTGTGAGAATGAGAAATAGAAAATGTAATGAAATTGGATGTCAGCAAAGGAGAAAAATGTTGTGTTTGTTGCAGAAATTAGAGAGCGGAGAATCGGGAATTGCTAGTGCTGCTGAAGAGCGAAACGAACGTGCTGGTGCGGTTCCTTCAGCTGCTCGAGATCCGGATTGTTTTGATCGAGAACGAGTGCGAGACGCAACTCGAAGTGCTCGAGAACGAGACAACTACTGTTGTGTGCCATCGGCAATGGCCAGTAGTATCGCGACAGGTGCAAGTGCTCATCACCCTCCTCCTCAACAAATCACTGCACTGAATACGCCATCGTCATCCGCAGCCAGCAGCGCATCCTCGCACCATCATCATCACAATAACACCGTTGCGATTTGTAGCAATCAACCGTCAACTGGTAATCAAGCACCAACCACTACGATGTCTTCACATCATGGACCTGCTCATCCTTCAAGGTTCATTTTCCCATCACATAGCTTCACCGGATTTCGTCGTGCTTGATTAATAATGCCAACTCGTAATATTNGTTCATTTTCCCATCACATAGCTTCACCGGATTTCGTCGTGCTTGATTAATAATGCCAACTCGTAATATTAAAAAGACATCTGGAATAAATATATATGACTGAAACAGTAGTTTATGACTTTGTAACTTACTGCTCGTATGTGATGTGATTATATGCATTCGGATTCTAGTTCTCACCATACAAGTGGTACTTCATCGCACGGTGCTCATCGAACGGGTTTGTCGTCATCTCGTGTACAAGGTCGATCGAGAACTGCTGATGATCCACACATTGGCAAATATAAATTGCTTAAAACGATAGGAAAAGGCAATTTTGCGAAGGTTACCCATTCCTCCCTTCTAATGTATCATTTTGCCTCTGTTTTTTATGAGCCTCTGAGCTAGCAGTGTCGATGACAATAGTAAATGAATAATGTGAATGAATTGTGCAAATTTATAGGTAAAATTAGCGAAGCACATACCGACGGGTATCGAAGTAGCCATCAAGATTATCGACAAGACGGCGCTTAATCCGAGTAGTCTACATAAGGTTTGTAGGAAAAGTTATTCATCCGCGTTATTTTCATTTTCTGATCCGTTATATTCATGAATTTCATTACATTTGATCTGTTGTATTCATGAATTTCGTTATATTCATACATTAATTTTTGATCCATTGTATTCGTGAATATATCGGCGTTATATTGATGCGAAGTTATTCATTCTCAGCATGTACTTTTGGATCGAATGTTGTGTTGTATTCACATTAATTTTTTTTTNTTGAGCATTGTTTATTCCTAATTTATAGTTTTTTTTTACTTTCAGCTTTTCCGTGAAGTGAAAATTATGAAGCAACTTGATCATCCGAATATAGGTGAGTAGATGATTTTTGCGATTGCTGTTTTCTTCGACATTTCATTTGAGTTGTTTATTGTCATATCGATATTTCGTGTCCATCCAGCCACATCACCAATTTTGCAGTGAAACTTTATCAAGTGATGGAAACCGATCAGACATTGTACCTCGTCATGGAATATGCAAGCGGCGGTGAGGTGAGCGCCTGGTTTTGCTGAGATTTCATCCCAAAGAAGATTCCCCACCAATTTGAAATTTTTATTTCGGAAATTCGTTCACCATGGTTAGGTTATTTCCCAAAGATGAATCGGAACAGTATTTGCTGGAAGCGTTTTGGTAATATTGTCAACAGTGTTCGATTGAAGTTGACTCACATACATGTGGCATATTCAAAATGAAAGTGCGAAAAATGATTGAAACTAAGAATTGTCATGTTTTGAAGGTGTTTGATTATTTGGTGGCACATGGTCGTATGAAAGAGAAGGAGGCGCGTGCCAAGTTTAGACAAATTGTGTCGGCTGTTCAGTATTTGCACCAAAAGAGTATTATTCATAGGGATTTAAAGGTGAGTAATTTTTCGTCCCGTC